AGTCGTACACCTTGCCTCAGCGGCTGGTTCCAACAAGCCACCGGGCTGAAACACTTACGGGATCTAATCGCAGTGCTAGCAGTAAAATTTCCGGCTCTGTCTTCCGGAGCGCGTATTCGATTCTTGTCTCTGTGACTGGCTGTTCAAACTGAGGTGTTTCGTAGTTTGATAAGACATTCCAGACAAAGTATCGACACTGACGGATTCGATTCTCGTCTCTGTGACTGGCTATTCAAACTGAGGTGTTTCGTAGTTTTGCTCAGACATTCCAGACAAAGTATCGACACTGGACTAAAGAGTGATAAGGAACGGAAACAGATTCGAATTTAGAACTTAATTGGAGACATTTTACCGAGAAACTCCTTTTCATGTCCTGATAATCAACATCACTTCCATGAACAGACAGGAAAACTCTGACCTTATGCATATTTGACAAACTGGAAATTGTTTTACGGCTATGTTTTATAGCTTAAATTCTTTGAATTATAATATCTGTGTAATATGTTAGCAGGAATTTTACATTATTTTATTGTTATAATAACGACATTCAATTACTAATTATTTATAGAATAGTATGTACGCGTTGCTGTATGGTAACAATTTTTTTATATTTATTTTTGTGAATATAACGCTTCGCAACAAACTTATATACATAAGCCTATAAAATTATAATATTTTTATGTTATATCAAAGTTCTCCTAAAATCTTTCCGGTACATTCCGGGATATTTTAAATTAAATTGGAATCGTTTCTCCCGAATCACACAATTAATTATTCATGAATGACTTTATCACTCGACGCTATATAGACTGGGACACTGAAAACATCGTTAAATAAGCGAATAATAAAGGAAACCACAGATCTGCACGCATTTTTCTGCCAGAAGAGCGCAGCACGAGGCGAAAACACAGGCAAAATTTATAACATTTTTAAGTGATCTCCAATTTATAAGCTACGGCGTCTCAATATAAATACGTAACAAACATTACTTGAGTCTGATGAGTTTAATGAAATTTAAGGACAAATTAATTTCGCTGTCCTCATAAAGATTTCTCAATAACAGTCCCCTCCTATATATCTATACCACAATAAATATGCATTACAGTAGTTTAAATATATCTAAAATTTACATAAACATTTGTGCGTCACATGTTACAAGATTAATAAATTCCCGTATTTTTAATTTGCATTCTTTAAAAGGGCTTAATTTTCCCCACGTCACGATTTTTATAGCTCATTTATGCATCAAGATTTCAGAAAAAGACTGTTAACAGTAAGAAAACAAAGGATTGTGTTTGTATCTTCAATAAACAAACACAAAGACCACAGAAGAAAGCAGATTTCCACAGCTTGCGTTCGGAAAATAACAGAGACCAACTTTCCACTCCTTTTTTCTGTCTAACAAAACGAGTAAAAGGGAGCAGATACAAATTAAACTGACTGAAAGGTACGCCACTGATTTCAATTGAGCACAGACCAACCCAGATGAGGGTCGGCTTCAGGAAGAAGAAGAAGAAGAAGAAGTACAAAACTCCTCAATTGCATTCTGAGATAAGAATTGTTATAAAACCCTAACAGTAACCTTTCGAGAAAGATGCAGTTCATTGCTTGATGAGAAGAAAGACCAAACTTAGAATAGAAAGGTAGTCAGCCCTACAGACGCTTTGAAGGGACGAAAGGAAAACGTCAGAATCCTAATATTTACTCATGAGACACTGGGATGGAATTCTTTTAAGGACAAAAGGCTACAGACGAAAAATTCAATGAAAGAAAAGTTCTCTCCCCATCTCTGCTTGTGAGACACAGAAGTAACGTTCTTCCTCTTTTGTTCCCCTCCTCCGTGGCACGATAGAATTACGTTTAGCTTCTGAGTGCCGGACTGTACATTACGACGTTCTGGTCATAAGAATTGTCACCTAATATATAGTACAAATCGTCTCCTGGAGAAAATCATAGCGGAGGGGGGGGGGGGGAAATGACCCGCCATGGATTCCCGTCTCAGTTCTACTGGAAATTATAATTGCTGAATGTCAAGTTATACTTAAATATTCTCTTTTATATAGGCATCTTACATACAGGAGAGAAATTACGTAGCACTCAGCTCCATGTTTAATGCTTATTTTTGCCACAAGACTGCAGCACAAGGCAAAGAGCAGGAAAATAAAATATATTTTGTTGACCTTATTTCGGAATCAGTAAATAATCTCTCCTAAAATTTTCTGACTTTCAGGATCTGAGCGTCGAGTAATTTCTTTAATTATATTAACTGTATTATATTAATCTACTGTAACTAATCTCGTAACCTATCTTGATTTTATTAACCCAATAGTTAGCTGCCAGGGTCAACCTGATGCTGTTTATTTTGATCTTAGCAGTGCATTTGATCTTGTCCCTCACAATCTATTACTCAACAAGCTCAGTGCTTTTGGACTCTCTGATGGTTATGTACACTGGTTTCGTAGTTACTTAACCAACAGACAATCCCAGGTTCGCGTTTCTGGAACTCTTTCGTCTCCTTTTGTGGTCCTCTCTGGTGTTCCACAGGGATCTGTTTTGGGTCCTCTACTTTTCAACTTCTTTATTGATGACATATGCCAAGTAATTAATCATTCTAAATGCCTTCTTTTCGCTGATATCAAAATTTTTCGTGCAATTAAATCTCCCAACGACTGCAATGAACTTCAAACTGGCATTGTCTCGGTACAAGGTTGGTGCACTGCTAACTTCATGAAACTCAATATTAGTAAACCTACAGTAATTTCTTTCTCCAGGAAAACCACTACTTTGATCTTTGATTGCAAACTTTTTCAGTCCTCCATAACACGCACCGACACCATTAAAGACCTGGGAATATTTATCGACTCTAAGCTCCGATTTCACAACCATGTTGACCACATATTTTCACAGTGTTTTAAGTTGCTGTGTCTGGTTCGCACATTAACCTTTTCGTTCTCTTCTCTCGATTGCCTGTATATGTTATATGTAACGTTAGTTAGATCCAAGCTCGAGTACGCCTCGGTCGTTTGGAATTCTATTACGACTACTGATGCCAACAAACTGGAACGTATCCAGCAGAAGTTTGCAGCAGCTGCTAATGTTGTCTGCAGGGATTTGGACATATTCGAGACGAAAATTGTCACACTTCTTCACATTCTATAATAGTATAATTTACTTAATTGATTCATGTTATTTTTACAAATATCCTAATGTAGTTAGTAGTAATTTTTTGTGTATTTATTTTTCCGTATCAATGTATTTTATATTCTGCTTGTTTTACCTTTTATGTTTTTATTGTGTTCGTGAGCTCATCTCTGTGCTGTATCTGTGATTGGCCATCAGGCTGTTGATACAGCACACAAATAATAAAGAATTGAATTGAATTGAAAGAATTGAATTGAATTTAATTGTAATGTCTGTATGACGCAGGTCCTAACCATCGATATTATTTCTTAGTCGGTTCTTTCAGTAGCATTTGTCTGAAAACGATTCGTAACAATTACTTACCATGTTCAAACACATATTTTCAAGGAACTGTCTCAATATTATTGCCCTAATTCCTTTAAATAGCCCCTTCGAGGTTTCCGAAACAATTTAATTTTGTTTAGCTGTTTTCTTTAACAATTTTTTTTAATATTTCCTATGAGAAAAGTTTTCTTATCATTTGAAACACCTAAGTCTACTCCTAATACATTAAAACCAAATGCCTGTACTAGCTCAGCTGTTTTCTGACAGACAGATGCAATTTTATTCTAAGTTCTAATTTAGTAATGCCACATATTCACGGAGCTGCAGACGAAAATAAGAAATGGAACCTTGCTGAGACGAGATTGGAAAATTGAACAACGCAATACTGAAATCCGCCTCGCTTGTGAATTAGTAAACGTGAAAGCTCCACACGGCTGCTTCAGCACAGACAGAGGAGACAAATACGGCTGTTTCAACAATTTGAAAAGATAGCTATTCTGTTTCCCCTCTTTCATTTCCCAGAAGAAAAAAGACAAAATGTAAACTCCGTGGCACCTCAACCTTCCGTTATCTCGGGCTCTATTCTAATTCAATAGTTTCATTTTATCAGACAGACGATGCTAAAGAGACAGGAAATGAGACATAAATATTTTTTCTAAAGGACTTATTCTTCCCTTTATGCTTAAAAATAAAAATAAAATACTTCTATGCGAGACTGATGCCTCAAATAACTTTAAAATGATATAAAGTAAAATTATTTCACAAACAACAAAATAATAAAAAAAAATTAAACCGCATTTTAATATATTTCTTGCAAAGAAGAGTAAAACTGTGTATTCAACGTTCAAATACACATATTTTCAGCTCCAGAGGCAATTTATCTTGACTGTTGTATACCTTAGTTTACGTTAAATTTTAAGTTTCGCCTCGGCAGTCGGGAATCGAACCGGCTGGTTGCTGTCACTAGCTTGAAAGATTTTTCTTTACATTCAAACCTCCGTGAAACTCCTATGAGGAAATGTTGAACTGTCATTTATTACAGTTAAACTGGTCTCCAATTTTACTCAGTCTCTCTGAGTGTTGTTAAAGAATGATTACTGACTTATTCGGACGGCTCGGGGATAAATTACAAGTCGCCATTTATATCATGAGATACGTATATACAGTCTGCACCTTTGAAATATAACCATATTGTCCTTATAACCTGATTACATCTTTCTTGGTGCCACTAGACCAGAGATCTACAACGCATGATACTGTAAGCTCATGTAGATCCAGGAACGTGTAGTTCATTTTTTATCCAAATGGCAAAAATACTTCCAAAGACTTTAATTTTTATATAAAGTATAAATAATTTAGCATTTCTACATATCTATGGTATCATAATGTAAAAGTCGGGGTTTCTTCAGGCATACTTAGGGATTTTGTCTTACAATTTTGTGTAAATTAAATAAAATAATAAAATTATATACATCACTACTGACGAAGATTGTACAAAATCTCTCTGGCGTAAACATCTACATGTTATCACTCACCCATAAATAGCGGTGCTGTCATTGAGAGGAATCGAAGAAGATCCATGGCGAAGGGCAACGCTTCATGAGGCCTTGGCGTAGCGGGCCACAACGTGAGAAGTTCAGCCTGTCGCCACTGGTAACGACGTCTTCCAACAACCTCCACTTCTGCAAAATGAAATAACTGCTCGAAGAATGATCCAGAACAAAGCGGATAGAGTGTAATGAATCATCATTCGTATGTCTGATGATAGAGTCATCCAATTGCTGTCCTTCCGGCATGCTATCATCTCGTTCTAACGCTCTTACCAGATACCTTTCATTTTCAGTAGTGGAAACTCTTACTGCCCTGGTTTCTACATACCGCAGTGCATGAATTTACACATGAAAAAGGTAACAGGTGGATTTTTAAATTCTTGATATAAATGCTCCTATATGCCACCGGGGCGATATGGTAAAAATTATTTACGTTTCGGAGAAACAAATTGCTTCCTTATGAGCTACAGGTTTTCGCATCGGTGAATATGCCGATGTTGACTTTCTGCGTTGAAATAACTTGTGATCTTGTAGACAAATACGAGCTTATCGGAAGAATATACGGCCTCTATCTTCAGAGCCAAAGTACCTTGAAGATAAAGGTAGTAGTTTCCTCCGAAACGTTATTTTCTATCTGAAATTCTACACATCATTACAATTCGGAAGACGCAGACGGAAGGAGGCAAAAAATTAATCCGAAACGTCGGTAATTTTTACCATTTTTAAGTAGAATGTACCGAGAAGTCTTTATGTAACGTAAGTTAATCAATCTATGAACATGGTTATAAGTTGGTATAGTTGCGTCATATTGTGAAGATATATATTTAATTAATTATTCTTGTCCGTCTATTCACAATTTAAAATTAAGATAATTAAAATATCATGTGATGTTCCTTATCGAAACATTCGAATTCGATGTTCTAACTGTAAATCGAATGTTTCGATAAGGAACATCACATGATATTTTAATTATCTTAATTTTAAATTGTGAATAGACGGACAAGAATGATTAATTGAACATGGTTATGTTTTGGGATGTTGCACCACGCAGTCTGGTAGATGTTAACCAAATGAATCTTAAGGGAATTTCTTGACTAGCTTAGCGACTTCTCACCTAGGCTTCAGTTCCACAGAGTTGGCAAGTTAGTTAAGTAAATTTGCAGAGAGTAAGGCTATTTCGTAACTGAATGTTGATATAAGTGCTAAATTGTAAACATTTGGAAATATTCGTTCACAGATATTGATACAAACAATTAAAAAATAACAATTAATAAAATTTGGTCAACTAACAAAACTAAAAATTGTACTGTAACAGCCTCATAACAGTCGAGGTGTTAAAATGCAAAACAGTAAAGTACTGCACTATACTTTCTTAACAACCTTCACACAGCAGAAGCAGTAGAAATGCTGTCTACCAGTCTTATACTACCTTCTGTTAAGGACATAACCGCTAATATAATTACCAGTATAATGTTACGACATTTTCACATAAATTTAGGTAAAATATTATTTAATAACGTACCGAAATTATCTAAACTCGTTTTCATGAAACCTATTTCATGATTTATATTTAAATAAAGACACGAAATCATTCAGCACTAACCATAAATACAGCTACTCCCTCTTGGCAGTGGTAGAGCAGTATAAATTAGGCTTCCATTGTGTTCGAATACATGGGATTCCCGATAACCGTGAGTGATTGGCAAATGTTGGAGAGAAGGGGGGCTCAATATGTGAAGGATGCGGGTCTAGATAACGAAATGACTCACGCCCCTTTGCATTAAATTGGAGCTGGCAAGATAGGAGAGCAGCATCCATATAGGGTACACAGCTCAGCGGGCAAGCAGCCAAGGGTTGGAACACGAGGGTGTATATTGTGTAGGGTTGACATTGACGTGGGTGGTAGGTCACCAGCGAGGTACAAGTGTCACATCAGGAGATCCTGAGGCCATCTATCATCGTTAGCCGACGTTACACAAATGGGGATAATCTCTTTTTTTTCCGAAATCCCTTTTCCCCATGCACTTAATAGACAGAATATAGACTACTATTAGTAATAATGAAGTTGGCTTGGAACACGTTTTTGTAAAGGTTTTATATTAGCTGAAACCAAATACGGTGTATTTAGTCTGCAGCGTACTTGCTAATGCATGTCACCCCTCTCTATTATTACCATTATTATGATCCGGTGTTTTGGTTGAGGGCATTGGTTCGCAGAAAACTAGGCATACTTAAAGTATGGAGCATGGGTTTAGGACCCTGCCTGATGGGCGATATCAATGCCAGACGTTACTTAAATTCATAAAAGATGAACGACTTTTCAGGGAGTTCATTCTTAGGTTCTGCGTTGAAATCAAAGCGTTGCACGCAAAGGGAATATTTTAATACAAACTTACTTCCATTTATATGTCCTGTGAAATTTAAAATTAGGTTATAATTAATTATATTTTAAACTAAGTTCTCCAAGAATTTACCTAAAAACTAGGAATGTAACTAGGATTATGAATACAATTTCATAAACTGGAAAATAAGCACTATATTGTTACACTTTAATATATCTTTAATATTTGTCTTAATAATATTATCACAAATACGCATATGTCCCCTGTTGTAGTTTGTTAGTTTTTAGGTTTCCGGAATGCAATTGCGTATGTATTTTTGATCATACCCAAACGTGTTACGTGTCCCGCCAACTGCTTCCTCCTTGATTTCATCAACCGCCTGGTGAATGGTAGAGTAAAAATTATTCAGTTCCTCTTTTTCATAATTGTTTACCTTCCTCTTAATTCTCCCTCCTACGTCTAAACATTCTCCTCTGTTGTCAGGATATCTCAATACATGCTCTTTACTTAATATTAGACGATAAATTCTACACCCGAATAAAAGAGCAGATAAAATAATATGCATGATCTGAAGCTTATACGGCGACGAAGTATAATGAATTCCTCTCGGGCTACATGACACAGCTGGTGGCCATAGAAGAATTTCTGCAATAATCCAGGGTGAGAGATGCAAAAATGTTGACTACAAAACGTAAATACAAAATGGATACGTATGTTCAAAGTAACAGTGTTATCCAATCACACTTGAAAGTGACGAACATTGTTCTGTCAGTAGGAAAAACTCGTAAATTCGAAAAGCTGATGGATTAATACTGAACATGTCTTGGAAGATCTTAAACTCTCAACCTATGCCAGAACTTCACCAATGCAACTTGTGCTAAAGCTAAGATATTTGCGGAATGTTAGAACAGTGTACATACTGCATGTAGCCTCTTACACAGCCATGTTTATTTCTCCTTTAACTAGCCTCAACTGAAACTGTTACTTAGTACAAAGGCGATAGTTCACCGTGGTTTCCACATATGGTAACCATTTAAATCATAAAGCGATCACTATGAAACTTCACGGTGCTTAAATAATGAATTCCGTAAGCAGCTGCCATTTACTTAACGAGGCTGTCAGTAGTTGAAAATACACAGCCTCGGATTATAAGATATATAGTATATTTGGTATAAAGCGATCGTGATATGATTTAAGGTAATATCCCGGCATTTGTCTGGAGGGACTGAAGAAAACCACAAAGAACCTCAATCAGGTTAGCGGATTTCTGAGCCAAAATTTGAACCCGATATCTCCCAAATAAAAAGCACGAGTACTAACCACTCGGCTGCGACGTTCAGTAGAATCAGACTTACCGATGTTAGATGTTTTCACTTCCACAGACTTTAACTTTCAAGTATTCATTCACGAAATTGACATCAATTGGAAGACTGGCATATGTGACAAATGCAAGCTTCAGAATATGTAACATCTGTGTTTACTGCTGATATGAAATTTAATCACATATTATTATTTTTTAAACAATGCATAGAACAACTACATTATAGCAAGATTACTTCGTCAGAGTATACAGTAATTCTAAATGCCAGTTAATAAATATGAGATTACAATTTTTCACCATGAATAAATGGTTTCAGCGGGATCTAAAAACTGTCACGAAAGCTATGAATTCTCCCTGAAACTGTTGCGTTTGTAACCTAGATTCTGTCGGGAACACTGTATAATGTAGATGGACTTCAACAAACTGGTATTTAATCTACAACTGTATTAGCAGAGATGCTCAATACCGAATCCGAGTAATTAAATCGTTATGAATGTAACCAATCAACTGTGGAATTTGGCTTTTGAAGACCGTTGCATTTCGCACACAAGTCACCAATACTAAATAAAAATTGACCGTTTCCATTTAATTTCATTGTTCTAGGGATTGTAAGTCTTGTAAAATAAACATTTACACGATGCCTCAAATGCGTGATCCTGTACAAAAGATCATAATCTTGTTTGGAGAGAATGTAGTTTCAAAAACAGGCTACATAATCATGTTATTATTACAATAAATTATTTATACAATTGGAACAGTATCAGGGTCCACGAGATGCCAAAAAAAGTCCATTCTGACACTGATTGTCAGTAGGTTAGAACTATAGCCAGCACAGGAGACGCACGCTTAAAGACCAATGTCACTTTAAACTTCAAAATTTATTTTCCATGAGAGTATATTCATGCGGCACATGATCACCCATTCATACACCATTTAAATTTGAAAAATCACTCCAGTTCTGTATCACATTCTGTAAGTTATTGCAGGATACGAAAAATCCCACAGATGTTACTACCACCATCACCAACAAAAACAAAAACAACAATAATAATTACAACATATAAATGTAAAGTTTTCTTCAATGTAAACGCAACATCGTAAAGTCTTACGGGGACAGTTTAGGTGATGGTCTATGTACGTGAGTTCAACTCCACCACAAATATGACATTGATCTAATATCAAGGTCAGATGGGCGGGAAGAAGAAATGAGAAGAGGTCCGTGACGTAGGCCGATGTGTCAAGATTGTGTTAACCTGGATTTTACAGTAATAGGATAATAGGCTTTGGAATGCAATCAGCTGGCTTGCTTAGATCGAGTCCTACATTGGGCTACTGCGAACAAATTACAGTAATCGGGATCCTTAAAAACAAAACATGTTTTACCATTTTTTAATAATAATAATAAGCAACATATATTAAAAACAAAATGTATTTCTGAAATAGCTGCCGCACTGTGTACCTCAGGGGCA